GCAACCAAGAAATTTATAAGATTCAGAACGTCAATCATATTCATTACCTTAAAAAAATCAAAAAATTCATTGATCTCATGAGGTAGGATACTATGTACAAGTGATATGTCCTTACAATATTATAATTTTTTTCTACGTGATTTATTTCATGAAATGCTAATTGACCTACGGGTCCCAATGAAATGAAATGTTAGATCTCCTTCGGGTCTTCTCAAACGTGTTAAGAGTATTCGATTGATCACCAATTACTCTTGATGAAATGATGGTATGGAATGTTGTAAATTTATGTTTAGAAAATTATTATATTGTTTTGAACGCACGTATCCTACTAAATATAAATTACTCGCTATTCAAATTTTAACATTTCAGGTTAGTGCGGTCGACGTGAATGGTGGTGCGCGGGTGGCCAAGTAAATATTTTAGAAAAATATTTAAAAAAATAATTTTGCTAGAATATTTTATTTTTCTATTTATTTCCATTGAATGTTTTATGTTATGTGACATATTTTTTTATTATTATTATTTAGGATTTGAGTATTAAATAAATTAAAGTTTTAAACCTTCAATTTTTATTTCTGCTTCACGTATGATTATGAAATGATATTTGTAACACCTCAAAATTTAGGTCAATAAAATTTGGGGTGTTACAGCAATTGTTGGGCTGATTGTTTAATTGGGCAATATGAAGGAAACGGCAATTCAGCCAGAAGATGCTTCAGTCCTTTTATTTAATAAAATTGGACTCAATGGGTCAGCCCAATTTAAGCACAATTGTACGCAGGAAATGGGCCAACTTCAGGTGTCTACAGGAATTGGGCCAAAGAAAGTGGGCCTGGATGAATCCACCGTAAGAAGATCCAAAATGGTCTCCAGGCTCCAAACTTCTGAAGCATCAAGTTCTCCAGCCCACAAAAGTAATATTTTAAGGGCACTAAATACCAGTTCACAGTCTAAGGCCCCTTGGCTTATTGACTCCGGTGCATTAGACCACATGACATTTTCCACCTTTTCTCATCATATTCACCATGTGTCAGCAATATTAAAGTGAAAATTGCAAACGGCTCACTTTCTGCAGTTGTGGGGAAAGGGATATTTGAATTTGTAACTATATAACATTAGAGTTCGTTCTCCATGTTCCAAATCTATCCTGCAATTTATTGTCAACTAGCCAATTAACAAAAAGCTCCAGTTGCTCTTCTAACTTTCTACATCCTCATTGAGTCTTTTAGGATCTATCTTCGGGGAAGAGATTGGCAGTGCTACGGAGTGTAATGGACTCTACTACTTTGATGAGGTCGATGTGAGTAAACTAAATCAAATTGCAACTTGTGATTCTACTTTCGTTTCTAGAGATAGTGACCTTTTATTATGGCATTTTCGAATGGGTTATCCTAATTTTCAATATTTACGACATATATTTCCTTCTATGTTCGTAAACAAAAATAACCTTGACCTTCAGTGTGAAAATGTGAACTGGCAAAACATTATCGTAGTCCCTTTCTAAAATCAACATACAAACCATCGAAACCATTCATCTTGATTCACAGTGATTTATGGGGTCCCTTATGTACCCTAAATCGAACTCACAAAAAATGGTTCGTAACATTTACAGATGATCATGCTAGACTTTGTTGTGTCTACCTACTGAAGGAAAAATCTGATGTTCAAACTATGTTTATAAACTTTCACTCAATGATTCAAACACAATTCGAAACATAAATTCAAATTTTACGCACAAATAATGGCGCCAAATACTTCAACACTACTTAGAAAGAATTTCTCCACACACAGGGCATAATCCACCAAAACTCGTGTAGATACTCCCAACAAAATGAGATTGCTGAACGAAAAAATAGACACCTTCTTGAAGTTGCCTGTGCCTTGATATTCACCACAAATATGCCTAAACTATTCTGGGGAGATGCCATTCTGACATCTGCTTACCTCATAAACAGAATGCCCAGCCGCACTCTCATTCAAGTCACCTCTCCAAAAATTTAAGGAATATTTTCCTAATGCCTCCTGCCTTGATTTTAGCTTACCCCTCCGAATATTCGGTTGTACTGCTTTCATCTATGTTTATCCCCATCACCAGAGTAAACTCGACCCTCGTGCACTTAAATGTGTTTTCATTGGATACTTATCCACTCAAAAGGGATAAAAATGTTGTGATCCATCTTCAAGAAAGGTGTTTGTTACCCTTGATGTCACATTCTTCGTACGGAACCCCTACTTCAAAAACCTCAATCTTCAGGGGAGACTTTGGTTGAGTAAAGATCGATTCTTTAACTTTGATCTCTCTCTCATTGAACCTATCATAACATATCTCCCTGTCCCAACATGCCACTTACAGAAGAAAACTTAAACTCAGGGTGAGATACGGGAAAAGAAAAAAGTGATATTAGTTTATTCAAGAAAGCTAAAGTTAATTTATAAGGAGAACTTCACACCCGAAGCACCACAAGAGTTAATACTGATGATAGGTCCAAATCTTCACGAGACTCCTCCAGATAAAATCGAGTCCTCAGGTAATGACCTACTTATTTTTCTTAGAGAACCTTGGTTAAGTACTTTCCACCTTATCTCAAATTTTGTATCCAGGGGCAGACCCAGAATGAAAATTTAGTGGGGGCGAAACCAAAAAATCATAGGAAAAAACCTGAAAAATCTGAAAAAACCTCAATAAAAATAAAAAATTTGAAAATCGAGTGGGGGCAGCTGACCCCACTCGGCCTCAAGTGGGTCCGCCCCTGTTTCCATCTTAGAAAGCTCTTTCTACTGGGTTTCACATATTTTCTTCTAACCTTGATGGTATAGAAATTCCAAAAAGTATTCAAGAAGCAATAGCTATTCCTAGATTAAAAGAAGCTGTTTTGGAAGAAATGCAAACATTGGATAAAAATAAAACTTGGAATGTGGTAGAGCTACCAAACTGAAAAAGACTTGACAGCAAATGGATCTTTAATGTGAAGTACAAAGCTGATGGGACAATAGAATGATACAAAGCTCGTCTTATTGCAAAAGGATATACATAGACATATGGTATTGAGGACACAGAAACAATCGCTACTGTAGCAATATTGAATACAACTCGGGTTATCTTGTCCATAGCAACAAATTTAGATTGACCTCTCCAGCAACTTGATATTAAGAATGCATTTTTGGTTGGAGGATTGGAAAAAGAAGTTTTCATGACATCATCTTTAGGTTTCTCCAAAAGGGATGAAGAAAACAAGGTGTGCAAACCCAAAAAAATCCTTGTACGGCCTCAAATAGTCACCAAGGGCATGGTTCGATAGATTTGCAAAAGTACTGAGAAATTAAGGATATTGACAAACACAGTCAGACCATGTTATGTTCTACTTAGTGTCTGAAGTAGGGATGAAAACAATCCTAATTCTATATATTGATGACATAATACTGATTGGAGATAATATAGTGGAAATGGAAAGAATAAAGAAAAGCTTAGCTAAAGAGTTTGAAGTAAAAGATTTAGGACAGATGCAATATTTTTTGGGAATGGAAGTGGCCAGATCAAACATGGGTATCAGTATTTCACAATGAAAATATATTTTGGATTTTCTAACTGAAACTGGCATGCTTGGATATAAACCAAGTGAGACACCGATGGAGGCAAGAAGAAAAGTAAAAGACACGGGAAAATCAGTTAAAAAAGACAGATACCAGCGGTTGGTTGGCAAGCTAATCTACTTCTCTCATATGAGACTTGACATAGCATTCATGGCTAGTGTGGCAAGCCAATATATGCATTTTCCACAGGAAAGTCACCTAGAAGCATATACAGAATCCTCAGATATCTCAAAGGTATCCTTGGAAAGGGACTTTTCTTCAAGAAAAATGAAAGGAAAAAATAGAAGTGTTTACTGATGTGGATTGGGCTGGATCAATAGAAGATAGAAAATCAACTAGCGGCTACTGCATCTTCATTTGGGAAAAACTTGGCAATTTGGAGAAGTAAAAAACAAAATGTGGTAGCTAGAAGCAGTGCTGAAACTGAATTTAGAGCAGTTACACAAGGAATATACGAAGGACTGTGGATAAGAAACTGTTGGAAGAATTACAAACTATGGTAAAATCTCCAATCAATCTCTACTGCGACAATAAGGCGGCTATCAACATCTCCCTAAACCCAATCCAACATCATTGAACCAAACATGTACAAGTTGACAGACGCTTCATCAATGAAAAAGTTGAAGACGGGATTATATGTATGACATACGTGCCTACAAAAGAACAAATTGCCAAAATTTTCGCCAAAAAGAAACTGTTGGAAGAATTACAAACTATGGTAAAATCTCCAATCAATCTCTACTGCGACAATAAGGCGGCTATCAACATCTCCCTAAACCCAATCCAACATCATTGAACCAAACATGTACAAGTTGACAGACGCTTCATCAATGAAAAAGTTGAAGACGGGATTATATGTATGACATACGTGCCTACAAAAGAACAAATTGCCAAAATTTTCGCCAAAGGACTCTCTCTACCAATTTTTGAGGATTTCATTTGTAAGTTGGATATGATCAACATTTATGATCCATCCTGAGGGGGGGGGGGGGGTGGAGATCCTTTATATTATGGGATTAGGAAAATTTCTCCTTCCCTAAATTAACACATTACCCTTTTTAGACTTTTGTGGTATTATAAATTGAACTCATATGCTTGTAATTATGTAGAGAAATATAATATAACATTCTCTCTTTATATACCTCTCGTTTTCTACAGTTGTGTGCTGTGATATTTCAGTGAAAAGACGGGGGCTTCTAAAAGTTGTGCTATGTCAAACTTAAGTTATTGAAATTGTTGGAAACAAGTGGTAAGTACTTGATTTGTAGCTCGTGTGATCTCATTTAGAATGAACTAGAAATTATCTTTTCAAGATTCATGATGCTTATTCTTATTCATACTGGAATATATTTGAATTGGAGTTGAAAGATTTTTGTGAATCTATGAAATGCTTTGATATTCCAATGCAGGTAAAACTAATGGCGTTTGCATTTCTCCGGGTGGTCGATTCCCTCCATTTTCAAACGAAGGGAAACCTCCCAGGAGAGCAAGCAAGGGGCCCAAAGATTTGACCCTTTGCAGGGTGTTCCGCAAAAAGACATGCTGTGATGTCACTCAGACACATCCTGCTTTGCTATCCATCAGGAAGCTAGCTTCCACTGGGCAAGCAAGCCAAGAATGCTTGCAGTTATGGGAACTCTTGGAATGTTCTATCTGTGATCCGCGAGTAGGTGTACAACGTGGACCTCCAGTTGTATGCGTCTCCTTTTGTGATAGAGTGTATGAGGCATGCTCTACTGCATACTTTTCTTTAGATGCAAGAACACAGGTTTGTTCTACTTTTGATACTTTATGATTTAAGGACTTCCTCATTTTTTATAGTAACAATTTATATGGTAATTTCGTTGGTGGCAAAATTGCGTAATGTTGGACTAAAATGGAGAATTATTTTGTAAATGAGTGCCATAAGCGAAATCATCAATGACTTGGCTGAATTTTTTTATGTCTAATCATAAAATTAAATGTCAGGTTCTAGAACCATGTGGAGTGGGCGACCTTGTTTGTGGTAGAGCTTCGGAATGGATCTCAAATGGAACAGAGCTCTGCCATGTGGCGGGTTTTTCTGTTGAGTCATCTTATGATCCTGATGAAATATCATGCTATGGTGGGAAGGCTAGTCTTGATTATATTGCAGATTCTTGGAGAACTCCAGGATCTGGTGTTTCACACAAAGAAGAGAACACGGAAGTTCTTGATGATTTCAAGCAATGGGTGGCTGAAATGCCATTTAATGAAAGAGTTTCTTGGGCAGTAGGAGGGATGGTTCTTACTGCAGGACTTCTATTTGCAAGGTCATTAATGCTTTTTCTAGGACTTGTTTGTGTGTCTATTTTGTGCATTTGCCCATTCCCATGTCTAACAACAGTATTGTTTGATCACTATACGTCATTTTTGGGCAGCAGTCTTCCTTACATTACTTGGAACGGACACTAAGATGCTAATTGTTTTGTTTGCACCCAAAATTGGGGCATGTTTTCTCACCAGTTCGAGTTATACCTAGGACATTGTAACCCACATCATTGGATTTTAATCATAAAGCATTTTGCTCCTAATCTCAATGCATTAGGTTGATTACGAATCTTTGCATACATGATTATCCTCCAGTTATATTAGGAAGATTTCCAACTACATTGGAAATTATTTGTCCTGTTACTTAACCTTTAATGGAAAATGCAGTAAAAGGAAGAGCCACAACCGACGTCAAAAGAAAGCAGCTTCTCATTACGTTGCAAGGAAACTGGGAACAAAGGTGAATTCTGCAACTCGAAGATGAATACTCTTGTGTAAATATTATCCATTGTTAACAAGTTAGACCTGCCAATGGACACTGCATTCTTAATGGTAGTTTTTTCTTTCTAGAGATGCACACTTGTTGTAGATTAATTTATCTTTTCTTTGATATAACGATAATTTTAAGTTGGAGACATGGTCTCATTTGTTTTTCTATTACGTTTTTGTACTTGAGAGGAATTTTAATTATAAAAGCCAGATTTTTGTTACATTGCATGGATACAAAAACTTATGCGGTGTTTTCTTTTCTTCGATTCTTATCTTTCTAACGTGTGCAGTCGAAACGGCATTGCCATGCTTGAGCTTCCATGTATTTTGTTTTGGCTTTCATTATTTTGTTGAATTCTCTCACTTTTTCAAACACCATCCACAACAATGTTAATGCAGCCTCCTTCCATCCTCTCTATTGGATTAACTTGTGATGACTTAATATTATTTTTGTAAATTAAGTTGATTATAACTTGTGCTGAGACTGATACAACTCAAACTGCATTAAGAACCTGACTTCTATTTCAAAATCAAGATTTTATCATCTAAATTTGTAAAACGTATATTTTTTTCTATTTGAATTTGTAATTTATATGTATCATATATAATGGAATCCGTTCTTAACGAACTTTAAATTGGTTACTGAAGTTTAACTTGTCTCAATTATTGAACTTCAATTTAGTTCTAAAATTCACAGTAGTCATTCGTCGTATCGTAAATTGATAAATTGCTTAATTTAAGAGTAATGTTATAATATATATATATATATCACATAACATTAAGTGCTATGCAAAACTTTCCATTATGTACACATAACAAGTGTTAAAATAAAATGAAAAATACATTTTTACCTTTTAATATAAAGATATTGTCATAACCATTGTTTTATCATTTTAGTGACAGTTAAATATCTGATATGATAATCTACTAAGCATTTTTTGTAAGTTTGGCAAGAAAAAATATTATAGGTCATAAACTATGACACAGGTGAATTTTAAAATTGAAATCAAGTTCTATTACTCAATTAAAACAAATTAAAGTCTAAAGATCTAATTATTATTATTATTATTATTATTATTATTATTATTATTATTATTATTATTTTCTTTTTTAAGTTCAGTGACAGCAGATGAATGGAGCAGCTATAAAAGAGCATAATGGTGGCAAATGAGGTGAGATTGGGAGACCGACTTGCAAGTTTAGCAGAGGAGATTGAAGCAAATTGAGATTGATCGGCCAAAAGTATGATGTGTATTTGAAAGACTAATAAAAGAAAATTGAACCTCTGTATTACAAATATCACGTTATTCTTTGGGCGTAATCAGTGTATAAGATGTCTCTTTAATGTATTCTACTGTTAGGTATTTGTAGGAGATGAAACTTGGTTGAAAATCATGTTCAAATTCATTTTCGAAAGATTTCCATTCTAATAAGGAAAGTTACCTTCCCCGCGCACATTTTTTATCTCTGCACAACAATAAGTATTTTGATCATAACTTTGCTTTTCGATATCCGATTAAGTTGATTCAAAATGCATTGAGAAGCCACCTTATTGGGCTACAATTTTGCTGTTTTCCAAGTCGGACGTTTATTATGTCAAAAATGGATCTCAAAAAATTTTGAAGATATTTTATGTGATTGAAAATCGATTTATGATGATATTCTGATCATATTCCATTCCTTTTTGACTTTTAGTTGCATTTAATTGACTCCTAGCAATCTTCAAAGTATCTCTTGTGATCCAAATCAACTATTAGATATTTTCAATTTGGTCCTCAAACTTTGTACCTCGACATTTTCACCATTTTTCGTTTCTTTATTTCAATTCCACTTTCAATCATCGAGTTTTACCTACTAAACAAAATATACAATATATTAGGGTATAATTTCTTAAAAGAAAATGTCTATATTATTAATAAGTATATAAAATACACTTTTCAAGCGTAATCTTGGCAAGTCTATATTTTTTACTTTTTTTCAATATAATTCTGCATATACTTAAGTGTTGATTATGACACTATGGGAATTAAGGAAAAATATTAATTTACATAATAACTTGGTTGCGTTTGACTTGATATGGCATGATATGAGGTGACATGTAGAGAGAACGACTTAATATCATAGCCCGATCAAATTGGCATTTTTGAGCTCGTATGACCTTGTACTAAGTCATGGTAATGCCTTGGAGGTTAGAATTCATACTCGAGGTTGGAAAAATAAAGTAGAATCCTAGAGTGCTAAACTTGATCATCGTCCATTGTCAAGAATCTCAAGATCAATGTGATACTCATAAAAAGGGACATAAATTTTCAAGTGCGGGCTTCTAAGAAGGAAATCGCATTTGCAATAAATTATTCAATCTTGAACAATAGTCGACTTATATATGCGTCATGTGGAATTAAGGGCCGCTTGTCCCCCGTTTTTTCCACTAGTTTAGATTGTCTTTGTGTGGCAATGTTTACGAGGTTGGGAAAATTCCATGTTTATTAGTTTTTTGGGAACTACAAGTTGGATAGTATTTCTCAACCACAAAATCGATGGTTTTTAGCCCTCTATCCTGTTGGACTAAACATTAGTAAACAAGTACCTAATGAAAATATCGGATTTATGCATACCCTATATGCAATACATTGTATTTATACATACCGTATATGCAGCTTACCATACTACCTAAAATATAGCAGATTAAATTACAATAAACTAAACAAATTAATTTATTTAGCCAAAACATAATAGATTAAATTCCAATAAAACAGAAAAAGTAAACTAATTAGCCAGAACCAAGAAAATTTTGATCGAGGCCTATGTGAACACAGTTTTCTTAAACAGATTCACCCTCTCACCGTAGGTGCTTAAGGTTTGATGCAGACATCTGTCTCCCAAGATGCAACGGATGAACAGTGGAATTTGAGCACTTCAAATACTCCTCTGCCGAATAGAGTTTGTGTCAAAATAGTACCACCAAATATATGGACAAGAACAAGACTATATATATGCAGTATGCAGATCGAAAATTTATGGAGATATTGATTATGAATGTTTATGCAAACTGTATTTTTTGTTATTTTCATTCGTATCTGGAATAGTGGAAAATCGGGTTACATATATAGGCTCAACGTCATGAATGTCATTAAGTCGTATATAATGACAATGAATATAAGAGTTTCAACTGTTTTGGAATTTAAACAGTCAATTAGAGGAAAAAATTAGTAAAAGGTATGCTCAAAATTAGTAAAAGGTATGCTCTTCTAACGGGCCAATTTTCATGTCCGAGCTTATTTCGGTTCGATTTGCCCCCTGCGCCCACATGTAGAAAGAGCCTATATGCTACACATAATCACACCATTTCAAAATGTAATCCTATTTAAGGTGGTATTTGCTTTCATAATTTTTCTATGTGGGACAACCTTAAATGGTTTCCCTCCAACAACATGTTACTTTCAATTGGCACAATTTGAAATCCAATTTATCATTCACTCAAATATCATTTTTGACAAGTAAATACAAGATTTCGATTTCTCACGGAGGAGAACAAAAATTAATCTTGAACTTTCAAAATAACCCACCGGGTCCTACTCAAAATTTGTGCGAAAATTAGCCCTTCAACCCATTTTTTCCAACGTATCCTTTATACTTTCTAAAACTATTATTTTCATATTTACACTTAACATGATGAAACTTAGACAGAAAGAAAAGAAATTCCTCTTTAGATACATCCTTCTCTTTAATGAAAATTAGCTTCATACTTAGATTCATTTTTCTTCACCTTAGATTCATTTTTCTTCACCTTATTTCTTCATCTTATAATTTAATAGAAACTTATTGACATGCAAAAGTTTACTCAAAGTAATAATAATCAGTCCAAAGGTTAGTCCATACAGAAATAAAAAATGATTGGGTAAATTATGTAAAGATATATTGAATTGTAAGGAATGGCGTACACAATTACTCTATATTATTTATACATTTACATTTTTTGTATATGACCATTTGCAATTTTATTCTCTTGAACAAAAAAAAAATTAAGGATTTTTTAATAATAAACTCTGGGAGGAATCAGCCTAGCATATTGATATGTAAATTAACAAAAGTATGGAATAATATCAATCAAAATTGAAAACAATTAATGGAAAGTGAAAAATTAGATTTCTTCTTCATTGATCTTCAAACGGAACTTTGAATCTTCAACATCTTGCGATAATTGCCATTTATTTTCATGCTAGACCTCATCTTTATGATATATTATGGTGTATTATGTTGTCTATCTGTCCAATATGACCTCTGGTTGCATAAATAGAGGTTAGAATTTCAATTCTAAAGGAGTTTGGATCAAAACGAGAAAGAAGCCCAATTAGGTTTTAAAATTATATGGCGAGCACGCGTTGTAGTTCTTGGACCGCATGCGTCGTGGCTTCACTCTACTATCTACCTTTGGAATTGAAGGTCCTGTAGACGTACCGTATAAATGGCACGGACGCGCCATAGGGTGACTTTTGGCTTGAGCTCATTTTAGTCTCTGAACTTTTCTCATGTGCATTTTTCCCCTTTTCCAATCCTTTTTAGTCCTTTGCTTTTCTATTGAATCTAATTAATCATAATTTGATACAATTCAGTCACTTTTGATTTCTTCTATTCCTTTGCTCATCGTTGTCAATTCTATTTCCGCAAGTATATGAATCATAACAAGTAATATAATGGATCTTATGAGTCCACCTTGACGTTTCCAAGAGGACTATATTTTAACGCTCAATTGAATTTTACTCTAACCACTATTTGATGAAAACAGATAAAAATTTGTATGATTTGATTTTTAATCTAAATACATGAAAACACTTGGATGCACACTCGATTGGTTTACAAATTAAATAATGAACAAATATTAGGGTAGAGTAATTTCACCTATTGATCACCTTTACATCTTTAATTAAAATTAATAAAATCCAAAGTAGTGTTCGATCGAATTTTCCTATTTTATTCAATTTACCCCTCTCGAATTCTCATTAAGCTTATTTAACTAATTCAATTCCATATCTGTATGTGAATCAAGTTTAGTTAAATGAGTTCTTTGTTCAAGGAATTCAATTATGACCGCAATAATTAATATATGTATCTCTACACTTTATATCAATTTACCGAATTTTACTATATGGTCTAAATTCTAAACTCACCTCTCGATTTATAAAGGATTCACTAAATCATTAAATTAGTTATCAAGTAATTTAAGGCATTAAATTCAAAGTAAAATCAACACATAAAAAAATAATGAACAAGAATTTTAATTAAAAGACATATCCTAATTAGGTCACATTACTCGTCTTAACAAGAGATTTAGCTATTCATAACAAAAGAAGCAAAAAATAAATCATCATAGAATACATCCCCGAATTTGTAGTAAAGATGTAGAAGAAAAAAACATCAATCTTGCACCAATATCTTCTTCCTCTTCCAATCAATTCTCCAAACGTTGAATTGTTTGTTGTTTTCCTCCCTTGAATTGCTTCCCTTTAATCTTCAAGTGTGTTTCTTGCTTCTCAATGAGTGGATCTCCTTACAAGTGTGAGAAAATTCTATTTGTGCTTCTCCTCCCGTTGGTGTTAGTGTAAGGTTCTTATGGGCTTTAAAAAAGGCTAAAACTGCACCCTAAAAAACCCCCGGCGCAGCGGCTGGGCGCTATGATTGCAGAGCCTAGGCGTTGCTTTTCTAGTCCAAATTCTTTAGTTTTGTGTCTCGTGGCACCTATGGAGAAGCCCAAGAAATAAAATGAAATTAGATTATTATTTTGTGATGATTTAACACCACGAATCTAGCCCATTCAAGAAACGAGCTATGAAAGCTCAACCCATTTAAAATTTTGAAAACTCGGGCCATAAGTTAATTAAGAACCCAACAATTTAAGAGATTAAGTTTAAATAAATTTGATTACAAAGATTTAATGAATAACTGGGTTGCCTCAATGGTCCTCAATGGTTATCTACAAGATATTTTATATAGGCAATCCAGGTTCGAATTACCATGTAGATTTTTTTATGAATTATTTTATTTTATGGCTTAAAAAATTTTCAAATTCTTAGTTAAAGACCCAATTTAACCAAATTAGTGATAATACAACTCCCCCATTTAGTTTTTCATTAAAAAGAAATGTTACAAGAAGTAGAAGTTCACTTTTTCACTACACTCCTGCTCAAATCCGAATTTTCTCTTATTTTCTCTCAAAAAAATATATTTCATGTCAAGTTAAGCTAAGGGAATAACAAGGGTGAGAAGAGGAAAGGCTTTCTACACATTTTGTTCTTTGATATTCAAGAAAATTCAAGGTACGTAGAGGTGCAAGTGTTTATTTCATTTTTAAATTATGATTTTTTGATAAATGTTTGAATGAAATGGTACCTCCAAGTACCGTACTTTGGCACTACAACAGTTTGAATGATCATTCT